CGAAACGTCACACACTATTTATTTATTTGGATTTGGTCTTATTACCTTGTGATTACAAATATCAAAAATACAAATATAATATTAAGTTGTAGAACGACATTTGAAAATATATCCCGCATGTGTTTCTTTTGTTCAACGATTGTTTCTAACCTTAGGGATGAAGTATGAAAGGATGAATTGTGAAGAGTAATGATAAACGGAAAAATAAAAGTGTCACAATTCATCCTTTCATACTTCATTCCTAAGGTTAGAAATAATCGTTATTTCTCCTTTAAATAAATTTCGATTTTTCCTTTAAAAGAAACACATGCGGGATAATTTTCAAATGTCGTTCTACAATAATAACCCTCATTATATTGTATTATAAAATTAAATACAATAATAATATTAATATAATAATAATAAATATTAAAAATACAAAATAAATTACAAAAATTAAAAATAATAATATAAAATAGAAAAATAAACAACAAATCTCCTCTCATTTTATAAAAAAAAGACACCAAAACAATGCATTTTATTTATTAATCCTGTGCATAACGGACAAGCTGATGATTTTTAAAGGGAGAGGTGCCTTGTCGCTTATCAATATCTGTTGGAATATTACACAGAGTAACAATGGCTATAGATGAGCTCGTGTTTGAAAATGATCTCTTGTATGTATATAATGTTTTATTGTTTTTGTTGTTTTCATGTAGACATATATACCAATATTTGTTTCATATAATTGCTATTAATAATAAATAATATGTAAAGTTAAATTGGTTACGTCCTTCTTACTTACTTTAATTACATAATAATATCATCTTCTCATCAAATTGCATTGAAGATGCAAATTGATGGAGAAACAAACGGTTCCCATTAAAAGTCAGCTCCTAAGACAGGGAAACTCTCAAGACAGGTGACATCTAAGACAGGTTTCACTAAGGAAAAAAAAAGGTATCTCCTTATCGTGCAATTGAAAGTTGCTGATGGCTTGCGCCTTCTATCGGATGTTTACGAACTTTTGAGACAACCTTGGTAATATTGGTAACCTTGGTATAATTATAACAGAATTCTTATAAAAGAATGAATCAATCTCTGATGTTCTATATCAAGGGTGGCCAATCAGCAGGTGGGCCAAGTTTCAGAATTACAAGGTTGTTCCAAAAGTTCGTAAACACTTGCAAAATATAAATTATAATATGTTACGAACTTTTAGGACAACCTTTTAAGATGGTATTTTAACAGAGGTTCTAATGGATTTTAGGAAGATGTATACAGGAACAAACCAAGATACTTACCTTAGGAATGCCAGGTCCGAATGAGAAACTGACTCCCAAATTCCTCCTTTTATATTTCCATCTCACCTACGCTCTCCAGCTATTGGTTAACCGCTAGCCAATCACAACGCTCCATTCAGGTAATCATTTCTCAGACTTAGTCAAGTGGTTGGAAGGTGATAAGAACAAATCCAATTGGTTTAATCCGAGGTAGAAGGAGATTAGCGAGTTGTGACGTCATTGGGGTTGTTTACAGGTAGCGAGTAATGGAGTTTGAAAAGTGAATTACTCTGTGAGAATTCAATTCAGGGTGGCCAAATTGATTCTATTTTAGTCTTCTTATTGAGAAATCTCGAAGAGATTGGTTGAGAGAGAGAGAGAGAGCTAATTCACTGATTAATAGACATTATTTGAAATTTAATTCGAGACTTTAATTCTATAAATTTCATCAATATATATATTTTTTAATAGTAAAATTTTTTGGAAAATAGAGAAAAGTAAAATATTAAGAAATACAGATTTTGAATTTAACTTTGAGTCAGAACAGCAAGCTAATTCTGTATCGAATAATACAGTTAAGAGAATTTCAAAATTTATATAATTTTTTATTCAGTTTAAACATGTGATGTTTGTTTTTTATTTATGTAATAAACTAGCGGATGTACCTGGCTTCGCCCGGGTTTTACCCGAGTAAAGGTTTGTCTAACGAATCTCTCGATAAAGTGAACATTTTTTCCCGGTCCCTTGAAAAATACTCGATAAGTTGAATAAAATCAATATTAATTGGTTTCCTCGGTAATTGGAAGTTAAAGGAATATTATCTTGCCTTGGAATTGTATCATTATTCTTGTATGGATGTACCCGGCTTCGCCCGGGTTTTCACCCGAGTAAAGGTTTGTCTAACGAATCTCTCGATAAAGTGAACATTTTTTCCCGGTCCCTTGAAAAATACTTGATAAGTTGAATAAAATCAATATTAATTGGTTCCCTCGGTAATTGGAAGTTAAAGGGATAGTATCTTGCCTAACGTTCCGTCGGCGGTTTCATATTCAAGTCTTTCGCGCAGTCTCTTGGGATTAAAGGATTTGCTTCAAGCGAGGAGTGGCTCTCAAATTGAAAAAAAAAAAAAACGACACGGGATATCATTTAAAAAATCTGTGGAGAGAGCGCCAGCGTGGATATTTCCATTTGTTTGCAAAGGATTGACGACCTAAACCAACTTTTGAATGGCTATGACCTATGGTTATCGTCTGATTTCTACTAATTCAAAAAAATGAATAAAGGTTCGTATCAAGCAAATTCAAAGGGAAAACAGGAAACTTTTATCAAGTTGGTATGCTTACAGGACGAAACTATGCAAAAGCTTCTATATAAGTTATTTAATTTTTAGTATCGCATTTATATTTATTCGAATTTTATATTTAAACGATACTCATTATTTCTTTGATTTTTATATATCGTATATATCGTCTTGCACAATTATTTAAACTTTTTAAAATAAAGTACAATACTTAAACTAAAATATGTTTCTTATACAATCTAAAATTAGAAAATAAACTTTTAAATCGGTAACCTCAAGGAGATAGCCATTATAAAGCACTAATATTTGAATTAGTTTTACTTAATATATTAGCCCTGAAAGACCCAAGGTCATAAGGCGTGGAGCAGACTTCCTGCCTTAGCCTATCTCCGTCGCAATGGTGGCGCTGCTTGCGAGTTAAATCTACAAATCTGCAAATAACTCTAAGGATATTCAAGATATTCAAGAAATTATTTTTCAGAAACCTTCCCAGTACTATACTAAATAACTTCCCAAAGTTTCATGGCGTTCCAATGAGTGGTTTGGTCAGGCATAAAGGACAGACACTCACACACACATACATTCATTCATTTATATATATATATAGATAGATAAGTAGTTAACATATAGTAATATAAAGGGGAAAAAGTAATACCAGCAAAACATCGGCGGTTAAGCGTCATAGGCTGGGTGAAAAAAAAAAAGAATAAGCGAAGATAAAGTTTTATAGAAAAGAGCAAAGACAAGGATTAAATCCTTTGTCTAATTATGGTAACTTCAGTGGATTAGAAACAACACACAGAACCAAAACATATCGGATCAAGTCTACCTTACCGTAATTACTATTTATAATCCAACATGTGTTTATTCACTCTACATATTAGAACAGGTGGAGAATTTTTTTTAGAAACACAAGAGGGTAATAAATTACTAGAACTATTAGAAATTATGATTCATCCCAAACAACAGTGTGTGATAATAAAGAAACAGAAAATAATTCCTCAATAGACCTAGGACTGGATCCTTTGTCTGATAATGGTAACTACAATGTATTCGGATCCCCAAACCTAATCAGATTAAGACATAACTTTTCCTTTGTGCCAAACTATATTTCAAATAGTGTTTATTCTTTAGAGATATTGGCCTGCAAGAAAAAAAAAAAAAGAAATACAATTAATATTATTACAAATACAAGAAAATACAACCCTATCCAAACAAATTAACAATGTGCGTCAACATGGGAACAGGAAAGCTAACGTCAATGGACAGAGAAATAGATCCTTTGTCTGATGTTGGTAGATTCAGACTATAATCCAAATTGTGTTTATACACTCTAAATATTAGGACTGCAGGAAACTAGTAAGATAATAGAAGTGCAAGAGAATAGTAAATTATTAGAACTAGAAGAATATACGAATCAATCCAAATAATCCAAATATCTGCTATGGCCCATATAACTCTGTTAAGATTTATTAAACTGTTTTTAACATAACATCAATCATATAACTTCTTTATTTTTATGAATTTATGAGGTATTTATTATTATAAAATAGAAGTGAGAAATATATAATATAGATAATCTATAGCAATAAAAACGTATGATAACTTGTACTATTTTTTCAAGAACTTGTACTAATAGGTTACTGGCAATAATACGGCAATTGCTAGCCCCAACATTTAGAAGTTGAAGAATATCCTATTGAGATAGATGAATGACCCAGGCAATGCCCCAGTTTTACCCATGTACATTTTTACACCCGAGTTTATAAAGAATAAAGCCTTTTTCATTTCAAATCAAATTTCAAATTAGCTCTAATTGGTTTAAAATTCAGATTGCTATTATGAAAATAATTAACTGCTATAGGGATTTTAATCTAAGCCTTGTATTTGGCGTCAAGCCCTGTCGTTTTCAATAGGATCAAGCCCTGTGTATGATGTCAAGCCCTGTCGTTTTAAGTAGCGTCAAGCCAAACTCCATTCCATCTACCACATCTGCCGCTTTGCCAGTGAGTCGTGCGACCCTATAGCCACCGCTGATTTCTTACTGGGTCCACGATCCTCTCCCCTCACACTAAAACAGGATGACCCTCTTCTCCGCTCTGAGGTTACCGGCGAAAATAGTCCCAGCCATCCGCTGCCTGCAGATCGTAAGGTCTCCGGGTGGGACGATCTGCCTTGCGAGGCATAAATGGCATTTGAGGACTTCTTCGTCGATTCTTTGGGGGTGCGTGTATGAAGTCTCACAACTCTGCGTCTCCCTGCCTCCATCGACGCGGCGCAGCATCATCTGCCTAGTCTCCAAGTCCCACGGCGGCCCTGGGCTCTGCGGCTACAGACCGATCTCGCTCCTGGGTAACATTCTCCTCCAGCATCTGCGGCCTCATCTTCTCGTCTTGGTACCTCAGTTACAGACGTACGTCCTTCCAGGAGGTACATGGGGGTTTAGCTCAGTGGTAGAGCGTCTGTTTTGCATGTTGTGAAAGGTCCCGGGTTCGATCCTCGGCATATCCACCTTTATGGTGGTAAGTATGGCCGTGAACACCGGTTCTCGTCCGATATCCGAAGTTAAGCAATGTCGGGCCCGGTCAGTACTTGGGAGGGTGACCACCTGGGAACACCGGGTGCTGTAGGCTATTGCATTTTTTGCCATGTATATATTCCGATTTATGCGTCCATCGGGGCTCAAAAATCATCCATTCTGGTTAGCAGCCCCATAAATAAAGACGGAATATTTCCGTTCCGGGAGGTATCTTAGTTGGAACGGGTCACGCTTTGCCGACGAATTCGACATGGCCACTAGGAGTGGATCGGCGCTGGCTGCCATTTCGACCGATCTCGAGTCTGCCTTGGACCGCGGCTTTCTGGTGTCCATGATGGTCTTCCTGCGACTGTGACAGGCCTTCATCTGACGGTTCCTTCTCCTCTAGCCGACGCGGCGGTCCGATTCGGAGGCCTCTACACACGACCCTACCATCTACTGAATGGTATCACCAGTATTGGTGTGAAGAAAAGTCTGGTAAACGTTTCACAAAACAATGATGCGAAATTCGGTAGAAGAATTTGCAGTGATGATTCTTTTGTGGGCTGTTTCAAGGATTTTAGTCAGGTCACTAAATAGCATAAAGAAGAGGGTAAAAATCTCTTTTAAACTAACTTTGTTTAAACATGTTAAGAGGACAGAGGAAAACACCAAACTGGTCAGCAGACCACGCTACACGCTCATCCTTTGTAGCCGGCTGGCGCCACGGGGGTTTGTTTGTTTGCTGTCACCCGGTCCGTCGTCTGGCCGACGTGCCGAAGTGGAATTCCATTATTCCACAATTGGAATGAGGACTCCTTTACACCGTTGGTGGGGCAGTCGAGAACAAGCAAGTTGAAGTAAGGTACAAAATAAAGATTTTCCTAGTTCCATTCTGCTCATGTCGATAATAGAATTTGATAAGAATGACAGAGAGTCAGCGAAATGTCAAAATATAAGGTTGTCCCTAAAGTTCGTGAACATATTATATATTTTCTATATCAACATCTGACCTTTTTAATTTTTTATTTTTTATATTGTTTTTTCACATGTTAAGCGTATTTACGCAAGTTTGGCTTTATATACCCATTTCTTGGTTTCTCAAGAAGCCTCTGGGATCGAAATTATTTTTGGTCGCAGTGGTACAACCTACTCAACGCTGACGAGCGCCAACAGCGCGAAACGCTTTCGTGGATGGCTTTTCTTGATTTATCAAGAAATTGGGCTGACCAAATATCAGGGAACAGCTTAAATCAATGTTTAGTTGATTTATGTTCCACCAGATGGCGCCCTGCCTTTTGAAAAGCACATGTGCTCCTGGTCAGGGGATATGCCTTTTTTATTTTTTATATTATGATTTATATTTTGCAAGCGTTTACAAACTTTTGGAACAACCTTGTTATCCTGAAACTTGGCCCATCTGTTGATTGGCCACCCTTGATATATAAAACATCAGAGATTAAATGATTCTTCTATAAGAATTCTATTATCATTTTACCAAGGTTACCAATCATAATATGTTTATAAAATTTTGGGACAACCTTTATAAAGAAAGAATGCTTGTTTGATGTAGAAACATTCCTTATATGTAGCTTTCTCCATTCAGAAAGAAATGATTTTCTCCAAAGAATATAGGCACGGGTATAACTAAATGTGCTAAATTCTGACAGTGTTGGAGGGGAAGCTCCGGAGGAAGAGATCGAGGGGAAGGAGACGACAGGGATACACAGACGATCTAAAACAATGGACTGGACGACACACCTACGAGGAGAGGATGGCGGAGGAAGTATGGAGAGACCATGTGGCCAGCCACCCTCAGTAGAGGAAGGTATTGAAGGAAGGAAGTATGGAGAGACCATGTGGCCCACCTTCAGTAGAGGAAGGCATTGAAAGAGGAAGTATGGAGAGACCATGTGGCCCACCCTCAGTAGAGGAAGGCATTGAAGGAAGGATGGCTAAATGTACACATCGCAATTCTAAGTTCAAAGTGTTAAATTTTGTGTTAATTTCCAAATTACTAAGGTTCTTGATGTAAATGGGCTTAGAGTTACGCAGACGTATAAAAATAATTAAATTGTGTATATATTTATTTATTGGGTTTTGACTAGAGACTAGAGTAGATATATTCTGTCGAGAGATATGTAAATCAGCCTTGTTTAAATTTGAAATTAAATTTGTTTTGTTAAATTGCTTCTATGTAAATATTTTTAAAGAAGGAAAATAAACTTTTTTTTTTTTAAGTTCTGATAATTTTTATAGCTAGAGGGATACATCTTCAAGAAAATTAACAGTTCTGGTTTGGTATTTGCCATGTTGGCCTTAGATAAATATGACACTGTATTATTTTCAGTGCTTTTTAAGATTATAAAACAATAATAAAGAACAAATTTACTCGATATATGTTTTATATAAAAATATTTAAATAAAAAGTATATATGAATAACTTTCTGAAAAAAGAGCAATCCATATCTAGTGGAGCAAAAATACACTAAACGTTTATTTAACTTGCTCCGTGATATTTGGCCAACCCAATGGCGCTCTGCCATCTAGAAAAACTCATGTGAGCCTGGTCAGGATAGGCCTATTTTGTTTTTAATATCAACACCTGACCTTTTTTATATTTTTTATACATCGATTTCAATACAATTTTAAAACTCTCATCAAAATTTCCATTGTATAGGTCACGATTCTGATTGGTGGAAGTCTCCTATTTGTACGTAATCTAATTGGTCAATTTTAGGTCATTAGGTGTTTACTTATTCATCATAGCTGTCATACGTCTATGACACTAACAAGGCAAATTGTCGTC